CAACACAGGCCCACCTGCCCAGGGGTGGCACCACCCACAGTGGGCTGGGCTCTCCCACATCACTCAACCATCAAGAAGATGCCCAAGAGACATGGCCACAGACCAGTCCAATGGAGGCAATTCCCCAGTTGAGGCTCCCTCAACCCAGGTTGACACTAAAGCTGCCCAGCACAGTTACATTACACTCTGGCGACCAAGACACTAAAAAGGACCAAGAAGAAAAGTAGCTTGCCACATGGCTCAGTGAGGTTGGAGTGCACATTCCAAGTGTGCAGAAAAGGAGTTGGAGGAGCTGAAGGTGCCTTGTCCTTGTCCCTGGACCACGGTCCTACCTCTTTCCTGACTGCCTATGGTTTATTCCAACTCCTGAAGGAGAGGCCCTCCACTGCAGATGGTCATTCAAGTTGGCCTCTCTGTACTCCTTTCATTTCCCTTTATCTCCACGTACTGTTTCAGCTCTTCCATCTTCACTGTGACGAAGCACCTGATGGAGGAAACTTCAGAAGGGAAGGGCTTCTTTCACCTCCGTTTTCTGAGGCAAAGAGTCCATGACAGCGGGGAGAGCAGGGTGGTGGGAGCTTGAGGCAGCTGCGTCCATTGCGTCCTCTGTCAGAAAGCAGAGCGATGAAGACTGGTGCCCAGATCTGTTCCTTGGCCCAGATCCCCAGCCCATGGGGAGGTGCCACCCATATCCAGGGTGGGTTTTCCTCCCGTTACCTCTCTGTAAACACTCATAGGTGCTGAGAGCTGTGTCTCCCAGGTGATTCTGAATCCCATCAAGTTGCCCATGACAATTACCCATCATACATACCTAATTCTCCATTTGGAGACTTCTTAGACATAATAATTAAAAACAGCATCAGGACCAGTAACAGCAGCAGCAGCAACAGTGGTGTGCCTAGTGCAAGACCAGCGTTTTTGGAAGGATTTGAAATGTAAAGGCATTTCTCTGGCACAATGGTTCTGCAAGACGAAGGTGATTCTGTAACTTACTGTCAGTGTGGCATCATAGGAGAGGGGGGTAAGTTGCTGGGCCCCTCAGGTATGAATGGTAGATCCAGTCTTCAAGCCCAGTTCTCTACAATGCTAGGAAGAGCTCAGAACGGTGTGTTGGAAACAAAACTGTAATCTTTGGAATATTTCAGATTCATTCATGTAACTTTTATGGATACATTGACTTGAGCTAGAGAGATGGCTCCACTATTAAGAGTATGTACTGGTCATGCAGAGCACCCAGATTCCATTCTCAGCACTGGTAATGTGTGGTTCACAACATCTGTAACTGCAGCCCCAAGGGATCCAACACCCTCTTCTGGCCTCTGTGGGTACTTCACTCATGTGCACGCATGCACATATGAACAGTGCATGCCTGCATGCACACACACACACACACACACACACACACACACACGACAATTAAAAGTAAAATCTTTGGGGCTGGAGAAATGACTCAGCAGTTAAGAGCACCAACTGCTCTTGCAAAAGACTTGGGTTTGATTCCCATTACCCACGTGGTGGCTAACAGCTATCTGTAACTCCAGTTCCAGGGGATCTGACCTCCTCGGGCATTGAATGTCATGGGTGTTCTTACACATATGCACACAATACACTCATATGTAAAAGAATAATAATAAATAAAATATTTTTTAAAAAGTAGATAAAAATAAACTTTTCAAAAAATATATTCGCTTGAACAAGGTCTCAAAATATCATGGGATGCTTCCCCCAGGACCTTTAACATGCTCTGAGATTCTTTTAGAGAGGAACAGAGTATGTACCATGAAATACTTTCTCCCAGGATTATTTCAGAGACTATTTGGGGAAAGCCTGAGTTAGACTAACAGTCACACCATCTGCCTCATTTCTCGTCTCTCATACCCGTGCTAAGCCTCCATGTTATATGAATTTTCCTGGGGGAATGTGAACAAACAAATATCTGTTCACTCCAGACAGGTCCCCTAAGACTAACCAAAGAAATGATTCCATCCAGTTCCGGCTTGGTGAACCAATGCGTTTTTGGGGGGTTACTTAGAAGAGCATGGGAAGGGGTTACAGGAACACTGATGGCTCTGGGGCAGCTGAATTACTCAAAAGCCCACCCAGCAATCACTCACAACACTCCTGCATGTGTACCCACGTCAGGCGGTACACAATCTTCTGTAACTCCAGCTCCACAGGACCTGACGCTCTCTTCTGGTCTTCTCGTACACTGCACTCACATACACATACATTCACAGACACACAAATACACATAAATAAAATTAAAATGAAATCTTATAAAGAACCATTTGAGTAGTAGGAACCTAAAAGGAAGAAGAATCATGATTAAAAATGGAAACTATATTGCTACCAAAGTGTCTGAACCAAAGTAATAATCTGTGTTCTTTCATGAGTAGACTATTCACAAAATGTAAGTTTGTTTTTTCTTGGCAATCCTTTTTTTTTTCATCTGGAAAGTAAAAAATTATGTGTTATTCAGTTCTCCAACCAACGTGGCTCACTCCAAGTGTATATTGACTTTTTATGTATAATGTGGAACCAATAAAAACAAAAACAGACTTTAGACAGACTTTAGTTACTTGTAATCATGGGTGTTGGCTATTTAAAAAAAAAAAA